CGATGGTTGTGGTCTTAAAGCAGGTGGGAACAATGCTCTGGCTGAGGGAGAGGTTGAAGATGGAGGTGACAACATCAGCCAGTTTGCTGGCACATGCTCTCAGAGCCAGCCCAGGGATGTTGTCTGGTCCTGCTGCCTTGCGGGGGTCAAGCTTCCTCAGGGCTTTGCATACCTGGCCTGATGAGACAGTTAATGGAGGAGAGGGGGGTCAGGTGGTCTCGGTGTGTGTGTGCCTCCTCTCTGTGCTATGGTTGGAGGTCTCAAAGCGGTGTAGAAGGTGTTGAGGTAATCTGGGAGGCTGTCTGTGGAGCTGATGATGCTGGTGGTGGTCCCGTACTCTGATGTTCTGAAGGCCTTGCTACATCCGCCTGGAGTCGGCAGTAGAATAGAAGCCACTCAGCTTCTCTCTGAACTGCCTTTTGACCGCTGTGATGGCTTTCCTCAGTCTGTACTTTGCAGCTTTGTACCCGTGGTCCAGAGTTTAATTTATTTGGTGACAGGGTTTGTTTGTTTCAGTCTCTGTCTGTAAGATGGATACAGGAACAAAGAAATGTGGTCTGAGCGTCCGAAGTGGGGGTGGGGTGCAGCCCTTGTATGCACCACGTATGTTATTGTAACATACTGTATGTTCCAGTGTGTTCTTGTCCTGGATGGGAATGTCCACATATTGGTAATATTTGGGGAATACAGTCCATAGATTGCACTGATTAAAGTCTCCTGCGGCAATAAATGCAGCATCGGGGTGAGCCGTCTCTAGCGCGCTGATGACATAATGGAATTTGCCAAGAGCCACTGTGGAATTAGCTCTTGAGTCTGTAGCTGAACGGCGGATTCTGGGACACTGTCTGATACCCAGGTCTCGGTGAAAACGAGAGTGCAGCACTCTTATTTCCCACTGTGTTGTAATCCTGGCTCTTAGCTCGTCCAGTTTGTTTTCCAGAGACCACACATTAGCTAGCAAGGAGCCCTCCCCTCTTGCCGCGCTTGCGTCTCCATCTTCGGATCACTGTCCTGGGTTCAGCCTGCTCACTCGAGGTGGGTGCTTCCTGGGGGTGATGGTGGTTGCTGCGGGAGCAGACAATTAGTCGTAGCTCCGGTGGAATAAAACCGGTGAATTCCAGAGGGCTGTGATTAGCAATGTCCAGCAATGCCTGTTGTATGTTAGCAGTGCATGACAATTGTGCACTGCACAAAAAATGAAAAACACACAAAAAAGAAAAAAAAGCTGGCATTCAACAGCAGAACGAGCAAACACGTCGGCCTCGAGGGGCACCATAAGTGACATCTTCTCTTTTCAGCCACAGGTGATGAGTAACACAGAACAGAGAGGCTGCAGTAAATAGGATGTTAACAGTGTGGATGTTTGCCCCCCTCAGGGTCACATCCCTTGGCTGCACAACTCCAACCCTGGCCTGGAGAGAGTAAGTGCCATAGTGTGGGAGGGAAACGAGTGTAAGAAGGCCGATATGTCGGTCCTGGAGATCAGCGGCATGATCATGAACAGAGTGAGTGATGATTTCTAAAGGAATATACACCCAGTTAAAACTAATGCAGTCTAATCCAACGGTCCTGCACTCAAAATACCTTCAGTTGTAGTTCAGACATTTTCAGAGACATATTGATTGATCGTATGAACACTATGCAGGCTACTGTAGAACCAGAAAGCACAGTGACACCGGGAGCCTGATCAGTCAAAATACATATGGTATGCACCTTGGTGTCAGTGGGAATAGATTTATTTGATACGATAGAATATGATTCTGTTCTGAGAGACAGACAGAAAACACATGTACACTAACACTTTGTGTGAACCAATGTTCCAAATGTCAACTGAGTGTGTTTTCATGTTTTACCTACTGTCTGGATAAAAAACCAAAACAGAGGAAGGGGAGGACCAAACACTAACGATGTAATCACACTACTTTTTTCTGTGCTTCCCGACACAGGTGAATCTCTACACTCCTGGTATTGGTTATCAGGTCTTTGGGAATTTGGTTTCAGTGACGCTTGGATTCACACCCTTTGCGTTCAGGTAAACATATGACAAGGTTTTTTTTTTGTGTGTGTGTGTGTTTTTTATTTTCTGTAAATCCCTTTTCAAAAGATAGACACCTGCATCTCTAAAAACAGCAAAGTAACATGGAGACATATTGAATGAAACGGCGAAACTGCCAGATTTTTTTTTTTTCCTTTGTGTTGGACAGTTTCAGTCACTAATAAATATTTGGTAACAGTAAAAAAAAAATATGAAAGTTGGTTTTATTTCACTGACATCAGTCTGTGTTCCTCTCCTGTAGGCTGGCTCAGTACCGGGACCTAGACCAGCTGACTACACTCTCAGCCAATGAACTGCTGTCTGTAGCGCTGGGTGGTGGGTCTGGATCAGATGCGCTGGTCATCACCATGGTAACACTGAGCTTCCTGGTACGTGTTTGCCTTATATGGCTCTTCTTCTTCCTGCTCAGCGTAGCAGAGAGAACCTACAAACAGGTGAGATGTTGAAACTGTAGACTGTGTTGATACAGTATTTACAGTAAGTTCTGACTAAACCAGGTAAATTCATGCTCACACACGTGTTGCAGAGGCTCCTGTTTGCCAAGCTGTTTGGTCACCTGACTTCAGCCCGCAGAGCCAGGAAGTCTGAAGTGCCCCATTTTAGACTAAAAAAAGTTCAGAACATCAAGATGTGGCTGTCGCTACGATCCTACCTCAAGGTACCTCACATGTTGTAAAAAAAATAAAAAATACACTGTATCTGTACTTATCAGTTCAGTTTCTGAATTTTCAATGTTAATATGGCTATTCATTTGAGGAAACAAATTAAGAAAAGTAGCTGTTTAACTAGAAAAGTTGGTCAACATTTATATTTAGAAAAGTATCTTAATTTGGGAGTGGGATGTGGCCACAGCTGTAATGAATGAAATGTATTGACCACAACAGAAATTCAGTACCTTTGCGTTTTCAGAGGCGGGGTCCTCAGCGCTCTGTGGATGTGATTGTGTCATCTGCCTTCCTGCTCACTTTGTCCGTCGTCTTCATCTGCTGTGCCCAGGTTGGTTCTGTATGCGTCAAATCAGAAAAACATTTTAGCTTAGATTGTTTAGGAGTAAGTCTGTTAATGTGCATTTCATTAACAAAAGAAAAACCTTACGTGGTAATTATGACTTACAGTTATGAGGAGATCTTGCAATCACGAGATAATAACAAACTGTGTGAAAATTGGAACTTCACTGAGAATTATTTTAAGATTTCTCAGTATCAGAGTAATTCAGTGATAGCTGTCAGTACATCCAATGATACACAGCAAAACTGAACTGTTAATAGCTAAATCAGCATATTTTGTTCCAAATCACAACCAAATGTATAATAAAGTTGCCATGGGAACAATGATTTACACTTTTTAGCCTGTATTTATTTACATTTTGGAACAAACACACCACCTTTATCTATGACCTCAGTAATGAACACAACTGAATCTATACATTTTTGACAGTTTCAGCAAAAACTGAAACATTGAGCTTTATAAAGAGTTTTTAAGTCTGGGATGTTGTACTGAATTAAATTCAACATTTTTGGTTTTAGCAGGTATCTACACAAAAGCTTTCCATTGATCAGAAATATGTGATATCTGGATAACGTACTTAAAGTACCTGTGTTCCCCTCAGTTGCTTCATGTCCATGAAACCTTCCTGGAGTGTCACTACAACTGGGAGCTGGTGATCTGGTGCTCTAGTCTGTCTCTGTTCCTGCTCAGGTTTGTCACTCTGGGCTCTGAGACCAGCAAGAAGTACAGCAACACCTCCATACTCCTCACTGAGCAGGTACACACACACACACACACACATTTTACCACCCAGCACATGTGCGTCCATACACTGGCATTGACTTATGTTGTGTTTCACAGATCAACCTGTATCTGAAAATGGAAAAGAAGCCAAACAAGAAAGAGGAGCTGACACTGGTTAACAATGTCTTAAAACTGGCCACCAAACTACTCAAGGTACTGACCGTCTGCCTTCACAGCTCCTTCAAACTGCTGAGATTTACAGTATCTGAGGTGTCTAATGACTGCACCTTCAATGTGTTTATTCCTCCCTTTCCCCCTTTCTTCAGGAGTTGGATACTCCGTTCAGGTTGTATGGTTTGACTATGAACCCTCTGCTCTACAACATCACCCAGGTGGTCATCCTATCCGCTGTGTCTGGGGTCATATCTGACCTGTTAGGATTTAACCTGAAGGTAAATGTGTGTGACAGACAGGGTTTTGTTTCAGTGTTCTACGGTTGAAAGGCTCATTTTAGTTTAAGAGAACAGGTCTGGGATGTATCACGTCTGTCTTTAAACAGTACTGTGAGAATAGGTCTAGGCTGCTCTAACTATTTCTACTCCCCCGAAGCGTCTCACCTACAACGTGACCACACCGTAAGGAATAGGGGACAAAGTGCAGAGGTGCAGTCCGAAGGTTGGCCCAGGCTCTCCTGAAGCTTCAGCTGTACATAGAGTAGGAATAGTTAGAATGGCCTAGCTCTATAAGAAAACTGCACAGTTGTAATAATTTAATGTTAAACTACCATGGAAGTGCACTGCAGTCACAAAAGAACAAAGCTTATGGAATAACCTCTGTGCTGATTATGATTACTTTAAAAGCTAACTTCACACTGATACAGCCTTACTTTTGATACTGAGCTACTTTACCTGTTATGGATAGTTTTTAATTTTTACAATGTGGTGTTTATAAGGTTTTGTTGGAAAAAACCTAATGCAGAACACAGATACAACTTTTACATTATGTCATAGATGTATGTAAGAATCCAACAGATTTGTGTCTAAAGCGTGTTTCTTTCTGTTCACAGCTATGGAAGATCAAATCATGATGGTGGCCAGAGACGACACGTCAGAGTGCTTTTACCCTCAAAGTTCCAACTTTGTGCAATTCACGAACTATTTATTATTTACCTGCTCAGTGTTTTTACTTACTTTAATTTGTTTTACAACACAAAACCAAGCTATATTTTACCCATCTGTAAAAAGTGTTATTACATTAAGTTCTCAACTTAAAGTCTAGTTTTCTGAAAGTTATTTATATATTAAATGAGTTTCAAAACAACTGTTACGACCTTAAAACAAAACATATGTTACATTAGTGGTTTTCTTCTGTTAACAAAGACATTGGAATTTGTGCATTAAATGCTTAAAACCACGGAGTATATTGTGATCAAACTATAGTTAGAAGGACTTTTATTATACTAAACCTGGCTGGTTCCTGAAGCAAACGGTCTCTGAATTTAAAGCTAGTGATGCATTCGGTATTTGACAAATGAGTTCAAAATGTAAAATTATTACCTTCACAGATCTGGTAGCAGATGTATGAAGGTGCAGGTCAACTTTTCAAATTTGCTGACTTGCCTGAAAACATTGTTGCTGGTTTTGTTCTCAGTCTGGGAGAGATGACACACCAGTCGACAGCAGCACTGCAGAGAAACAATCATCTAGTTAATGAAAATAATAACATGAAGTACATGTGAGATTTACAGAAACCTCTGAACTTCAGACAGCGGTATTTTAAAAAGTTCAGTGCACAATCTATGTAGATGTGCAGGGAGAATCTTAAATTCTGCTCTCCAGCCAGCATGAATTAGAAAGATCCCTTTTAATTTCATTTCATTTTTAAACTGAGTTTTAATGGTTACTTATTTTAATAGCATTTCCATCAATTTATCTGTAAGTAGTAGCTTTTCCCTCAGGATGTGGGTTGGGCTATTTTCAGGACACACAAATTGCAACATGCAACTAATGAATGAAATTTGGTTAGAATTATTTCAAAAGCTTTTTAGCAAAGTTGGACAGCTTTTAGTTCACAGTATCGGATTTCAGAATATCTCTGCATGTAATGTCACTTCCTTTAAATTAAATTTTTATACTAGACGACTATGAGCCACATTTCTCGTTTCCCCCTTCCTGATTTGTTTTAGTGTAAATTTACAGATTTGTTGCTCAAACTGTAGTCAAGTCTGGGAGTGACTGTTTTTAGGAAAGCCTCTACTGGATTGTCCAGTTCCTACATCAGAAATGATATAGCCACATGGTATTTAGCATATTAGTTGCTCTCAGGAGCTCTTCAACCACAAAACCTCTAACTTTTAGAGATCAACTGGTTGATTCAGTCCATGTGAACATTTTAGAACAATCTGATTGTTGAGTTTCGTCTCTTTATTGAATTGTTCCATCAATTAACCATATTAGAAATTCTGTAAATTCTGAATAAAATGTATTGCACTCCCAGAGCTACTTAACAGTTGTTTTATCTGCATATTTGATAGTGACTGAAGTCACAATCACAGGTTTCTATATGCTGCAGTTAAAATGTGTGTAAACATGAATGAAAATATGCACTTTAAAAATGGTTTTAAACTGAAGAAAAACAAGTTGCATGTTTCAGTGTCGAGAATTCTTTGTACCTCTCCTACTGGACGCCGTGTTGGGTGTTCAAGTGAATACTAGCTGTCAACTTAGAAATAATGCATTGACAACTCAAATAAATCTTACATGGTACGTGATGTTATCATGCCCACGGAAAATATCCTAAATGAGATTAAAATGCTGACATGTCGTTGCTTCTGTTTAAGGGTCAGCATTTTGCTAACAAACTAACTTCATTCATACGATGCTAGCATAATCATCCTCACTGTGTTGGAGGAGGAAGACCAAAGTTCTTCTTTTACTGTTTGTTTTCATTTGTCTCTCCTGGAAAATGAATGTATTTGCAGAATCATGCTTTAAAATCTGTTTCCCTTTGGAAATACTTTACTTTTTTTTGTTGTTCTTTCATTACTCATTTGTAAAGGTTGTTTCTCACACTTGCTGGAAAGGAGAGGCACGTTTTACTGTTTTTGACGAACAAAGTTTTACTTGTATGTATGAAAATGAATCTAAGACTATGTTGTGATTCTGTTTTCAAAGAGTCTAAATATTTAGATTTTTTGTGAACAGCTCTATCCAAAAGGTCTACATTTTATAAGAAAAATAAAACAAGTGGATGTTTCCTCTTTGATTCTTTTGTTTTATTTCAGTATTATAGCAAACTCAACAGAGGGTGACAAATCCAATTATTAACATCAATCATGTTTAACAACACAAAGATGCCAAAAAAGCCAAGCTGACCTTAGTATGATAGCTGTCAGCTGTCATACTGAATATGGCTTACATTGGGGCTAAATTGGTTTTTCCTTTAATTTGTAAATAAACTGCTGTAAATTATAATTGTTTAACCTTTTTTAAACACACAATAGAATGACTCAGACCAGAGTGGGTTTTCTGTCTTACCTCTGGTTTGGTATTTCAACATGCAGGTAGTTATGATCAGGTTTCGGGTATTCAGGTCTGCAATTTCTGTCCACCTGGCGACACATGAAGTAATTGCAATTTAATGTTGTGTTGACAACACTGAAAATTAGCATTTAAAAAAACCACAGTAATTCAATCAGAATCATTATAATAAAGGCCACATGGCTCACAGCCACAGTAAGAAGCTAAAGTTAATGCTATGAAGTTCCATTATCTGGCTCACACAGCATAGGGATCACTAAATCATATAATGTTAATGACAGTTATAGACAGACCTTATTAGAAGCAAGCTGGGGAACAATAGTATAAGGTGGGGAAGTAGGAGAAAAACTAGCTCCCCCTTTACCAGCTGCAGCATAAATATATAATGAGGCGATCCAAAGGCCACTCTCATCCCAGAGTCCATCTTTCTGTGGCCAATCAAATGGCTAAATTCATCTTTCTACTACCAATCATGCAATGCTGTCCATTTTTCACCATAGCAACGGTCCGCCTGTTTTGTTTCTTTCGTTGCTACGGGAAACTTAAAGTTGCTAAGTAACAATCCCTCTGTCTCTAAACTTTGTTTAACGTTTGACATCACTGAGAAAGTGACACTTTACTTGAACATGAAGTTAACACTAACATGAAGCTACTACTGTGTTAGTGTGTTCGAGTGAACCGCCACTTTATTATTATATAACCTTATTATTAAGTCAGTGTTTATGTTATATGCACAGTTAGGAAACTATTATTGCTATATTACTACTTTTCAAAAATCTAAGTTATAAAACCGTTTAAAATGTTTTACTTATAACTATGATATCAGAAGACACACCGACAAACGTTTTGCTCATTTGTTGACGCCATTGTACTGTATGTTTGCTGTAGTTTTAATGTCACTTAGTACACTTCATGTCAGTGGCTTGACAACTTTTTATTATGCCTGCAGATAGAAAAATGTGCTCTGCATCTGAGAGGACAAATGACCCTAACAAAGGAAACAGCTGCACTTGTGGCTTTCACAATGCCAAGGTAACTTCACTTATAGTAAATGGTCAAGCTGCACTTTTATATTAATGTGTTTTCTATTCTGATAAATAAGAAAATATGTAAACATTTCTTCTATATTTTCAGGCATCCTTCATTCAATAAGGCAAAACCCAAGTATAGATATGTTATG